TGTATCGGGAAATATTTTTAATTGATTAGGCATACATGTGTTTATTCTGCCTGCATGGTAATGTTTTATATCTACGATATTTCACGGTTAATCGTTATCCTACCAAAATCGTTAGCGTAACAAATTATGGACAATTTAATCTTAATTAAAGTACTTAAACAAACGCTTTATCTGGAGACGTTTTACATAGTTTCAGACTTCATGAATATTTCGAAAGTTCGGCGGAGGCATTAGCGTCTCGAGCGTTTTAAACTATTAATCGATTCGTTAGCCTTATTGGACCGGAGCCGATGCTCTTTGAAGATGCCACGCAACACCGGCGACACCGAGTGAAATTCATATCTGTAGCGAGATGTCGGCCGCTTCGGAGAGTTCTACAAACTGCTATCTAACTTCATACAAACGGAATGGCTTCCGCTCCCCGTGGGATAATCCGCAATAATGGCTTTAAAGAAAACTTTTTGTTTGGCGAATGGATTTGTTGGGGAGTTTTTTGGAACGGGAAATCCCGATGGAGTACAAATCGGCTGACCTCGTGCATCATTTATCCAACTCCATCGACTGTTTTGTTTCAGTTTATCCAATAATGTTGTGTAAAATTTTTCAATGAATACGAGTACATTTAGTCTAAAAATAGGTTAAATAGTGTAAGGAGTGGAATTATTATTAACACAAACTGGAAGTAGCACGCGGACAGTTCGACGCATTATCTTAACTCCCCGACGTAATTCAACTAATTTAAAGGTCATTTTGGGCCTACAAGAGAACGGGGACGCGAGAGACAAACCCTGTTCGGGAGAAATATATTTTAACATTAAAGTTAATACATAGCCATTTGTCTCAATTAGTCGTGAGCGAAATTAAACGTTGGAGAGCATTAGTCATTTTTAGCAAATTAGTTTTAAGTTTAGCTCAGGAATTTGATTTTAGCAAACGATACGAAAAATGTCAGTCAATTTCTGGAAACTTTACGTAAAATTACGTCAAATGTCGTTGTTGTCAATGATTGAGGTTTGGGATATGTTGAAATACCGTAAGGATATTTTTTCTCTGAATCTATTGGTTTGTTTTCCAATTCCACAGCGCGCAATAAATATATAAGCAGCTATCAAGTAAATAAAGGGAAATTTATCAGGAAAGTTTTGCAGCAACGATGATGTTTGTGTTTAGGGTAGAATTCATTCGACAAGTTCAACGGGATTATTAAAATATACATTTTGTTTCTTGTTGTCTTTGTAACGAGTTACAAACTTATTATCACCTTTACTTCTTGCGAGGGAAATAGGATTACAAATTATTAACCCTATTAAATTGAGTTCCCCGTTTCAGAATTACTTCGGAAAAAACTTCTGTACTATAGTTAATTAAATCTTCGTATAGCACAGGTTGTGTAACTTTTTTCGTTTTGTATAACTTTTAATTGCTTGCTAAATGCATGTTGGTGCTTTTTTATATCATGATTTGTTAAGTTAATTAATGGATTTAATTAACTCCTTAAGTTGTTTTTCAAAAATTATAAAATGTCTATAATAACGCAAATTTCTTTTGGTATATTAAGATATAAAATATTCCTTTAAAATATCGATTATAATCATTAGACAATTTTCGAGGATCATTAATTAATAATTAGGTATATAAAATTCATCTAAAGTGAATTAACGTAATATCTCCGAAGTAATAATCAAACCCACTTAAATTTCGTTCTCCTCGACTTTCCATTCCCCCGATTCTCTCCCGAACCCTCCCGTAAATCGGCTAAAGATACAGAACTACCGCCAATTAAATTACACTTTAATCGAATTTCGAGATACTGCTGGCCTACGCTTTTCTCTCCTCTCTCCTTGAGCGAAAGAGGGTTTAAGACGGTCGGAATCGACTAAACGCCACTAAAAGTCGTCTGTATTTTCAGTCGGTGGCGTAAAACACTCCTTACGGCTCTAATGAGACGAACCTTCATAAAGCCTTCTATTTTACGCTTTGTCGCCCTCTGTTACTCGAATTGCGACGGTGTTGGTGATGGTGACAACACTGCTAGTGCTTTAAACTTTAACTTTAAGTTACATTTTAAAATTTTGGAAGATTTGTTAGTCTATTTATTCCTGCAAAGGCTTCCAGAATTTTACTGTATACATGTTTAAATTACTAGATTAATCAGCTTCTTTTCTCTAACTCTTAACAAATGCCCTTTCTATAAAAAAGTGGCAAAAAATTGCAGGAATAATTTCAAGGGTATTATTGGTTTGCTGACTTGACTTTCGTTATTTTAAGTGTCTGGTCGTACAAATGGGGATTTTTTTTTTGAATAGTTAACACTCTGCGAGCGTACCAAAGTGACCAGACGGAAAAGTATTAGTTATTAGAAAAGTTTCGACGATCAGCCGCGAGTAAATAAAAGTTTCTTGTCGAACCGATCCAGTTTAATGAGGCCACTAATAAGACTTAACTTGAGGGTAACGGGAAAAGTTTTGCAGCGCCGATCGCTGTTCGGAAAATTGTATTTTCGATAAATAAAGATTGTACTTAATTATTGTAGATACTCGCTTCTTTTTATTGTTGTATATTAACTAAGGTTTATTAAGTTATTAATACGTAAAATATATTCAGTGCTGTATAGCACTTTAACAAGCTTGTACATCTCCTTCAAATTAGTGCGAGGTTTAATTATGTACTACTCTATGCACTATATTCGATTCAGGCGTTTATTATGCATACGGATAAACATGCAAGTTGTTACTAAGAATAGGTAAACCCTGAGTGTACCTAATTTTTGTAATCAACTGCGTCTTCTATTCTATTTGAAGTATAGGTATAGATATACTCGAAATTTCATGTTGGTAATGGTCAGTAAATCTAAGTTTAAAATAGGAGTTTTCTATATCTCCTAAGCGTCCCTATTCTGAGCCGGTTCTCATACAATACGCTTTGTAATATATAGTAACTAAATTGCATTTAATCAAAATTTCTCTGGAAAGGAAAACAGAAAGGAATGTGAGTGGCCGTAATCCACCTATACAGCCGATACCGTTCCATGAAATTTTGGTGTTCACCCTTCGGCGCACCCCGACCCGGCACATCGACTACGGAGTAAAATTTCCACGAATGTCGGCCGCAAAAAGGTTTAGAGGTATTACGTGACAGGAATTCGCCTTATGCTGAAAATTTACATCGCTCGCCGCCTCGAACCGTAGTCACTCAAACTTCTATTTACGCACCGGTTCGCCGTGTGCGCTTCTTCTTTTCTAGTCAGTGCCGGTTCGAAGAGCATTCGGAAAATTCGAAAACGATTGTCTCGGGAAACACATTTTCCTCGCTCGCATTTTCCTAATAAATTGTCTTGGTGAATAGTACAGGTGGTTTTAAAATAGCAATTTGCTATTAAGGGATTGCTTTTATGAGGGTTTTAATATGCTATAAATTATTTATGCATTTTGTAAAGGATAATTTGTTAAGTTTCTTAATTATTTTAAGCATTACTTTAATAAGAATCACATAAATATAGATTTTGCTTTATTCCTGTGGGTGTGCTTATTCAATTTTACGGCCAAGTTTCATCTAACTTCTGTTTTTTGTGGGGTAACTGTATATTTTTGAATACTCGAATACCTATTTCTAGATATTAAATTCCTTTTTATATTCCTAATATTATGCAGATACAGAAGTTTCAAATCGAATGCAAAAGAATGCGAATAGCCTTTTTGGGAAGCAAACAGAAAAAGGTAAGAAAAGTAAACAAACTGTGTTTCTTTAGGGTTTCTTTAGGGTATAAATATGATAAATACAAACAAAAATTTATTGTTACTTTAAAATATCAGTTTGAAATTTGACAAATTAGGGTTAACAATAGGTACAGTAAAAAACTTGAAAATAAACCAACCCTGTTCAAACGGAGTAAGAAAGCATTTTTCTTTCTATTAAAATTCGAACGCATAAATTAAGTTGTTCACACATACTCGAAAATATTTGAATTATTCTCGATGAATTATATTCTTCCCTTTATCCAGAAAAAAACATATAACTATCGACAAATCTTACTGTCAATTTTTCTAACGTTAATTTTAGTATTCATGTGTTGGGGATTAATCATTAGGAATTGTTAATACTGTAAATTTATATTTGCGCTATTCTTTGCACTAATATCACGTAATATTTGTAGGGATTTGGTTACCGCACTGTTGACCGAACACAACACACCCTTAAAATTAATTGCAATAATTTATTTTAACGTTTTGCCAACTTTGTAACTTCTAACGGTTAATTACATCATGTTTATTAAATTAATGGCCGAAGTTTTAGCTCGGTCATTAATATAACAGCAACGCGGTAGTGCAAACGTACGTATTTAAATATGTTCCGTGTGCAAAAAGAGTGTTAATTTATTGCTTAGTAAAAATTCAACCGAAACCAACTAAAAATCGAATCGTTAAAAACGGGAAAAAACAACTCCAATGAGGCTCGACGTTTTGTAGGTAAATCTTTAAAACTCCAAGACGTGTATTGTTGAAAAGGCTACGACAAAATCAACTAAGCGCCATCAGAGAGAAAAAAAAATCATCGGATTGGAAATAAAACACAAGAAGTTACTTCTCCGTCTGCATTATGTAAAGCACAAGATGTCTCGATCGCCCCGTAACGAATAATTGAAATGTTACGGCGCACTTTAGCAGACACAATAAAACTTTGATGAAATCCTCTCGACTGGTAGCTTTCCTTCTGTTCCGACCTGACGTTTCAATGGCCTTCTTTGCGAATCGGATCGCTCCGGAATCCGCCCAAAGCTTTCTATTAGCTTTTTTTTTAATTTGATAGTAATTACTTCCCGGAAAAGTAGCGTTAAAGGCAGAAGCTGGCAGTGTCTTTCGCTTTTGTGCCCAATGAGAATTACCGTTTGGGCAAGGTCGCTTCGGAATAAAAAGACACAATCCCTCGTCGGCAAAAAATAGATGGAATATTATGTATTACATTTTTACGGTTTCTTTACGTAAATTATTTCGTTTTTGCAGGAACGACCATCCGACAACAATCGAAAAGTTGGAGAGCCGAGCACAAAGCGGCAAGGACTCTGGGCATCATTATGGGTGCATTTTTGTTTTGTTGGCTTCCGTTTTTTCTCTGGTGAGTATTTTACACAAAAAGCAATTCGAAGTTACAAAAAAGTTTGTGTTAAGAAATTTATTTCAACTGGAAAAATTTCATTATTTGACATTTTGGCTACTGCAGAAAGGAATAACCCTTAGAGAAGAACCTTTAAGAAGATGAAAGAATGAGTTAAGGAAGAAGTTTTGAAGATTTGTAAAATAATCCAGAATTACTATGAAACTTTGAAAATGTTATAGTTTGATTTTAACACACAAGCTTTAGTTATTACCACAAAAGTTTTAATATAAATTAACCCTTCAGCGATGATTATCAAAAATCTATTAATTCAAACTATTCTATAGAGATTCGCAGACGTCTGATTAAATTCCAGTTTACATAAGAAACGCTTTCTAATATATCTATCTACACATGTGATGTAGATATATCTCTGGCTGGAAATCTTTAATTAAAGTTCGAAAACTGAGCGTACATATCTGTTAATACCTTCGGGGAACACTAATAGCACAAATCATTTTCCCTCAGTGACTATCACCATAACGGGGTTTTCATATCTCAGGACTTAAAGTTATTAAACTGAAATTGCTTTGGAGACTTTTTTAAAAAGTCTATTTTTTCCGTCGTATAAATCTAGGCACGCACACGCCTCGCTAATCCCGAATCCCCGAAGATGGATTTATAAATTTAATTTTTGCATGCATATTACGGCCCCTTTATTAGTCCTCCATAAGTTAGTTAAATCTTTTTTATACAGTAAACTCGTCTCATGATTAGAAGGTAATTATGATGAGCTTGGAAATGATTAATTATGTAATATGTATTTTTTTAATGCTAATTCAATTTCATCAATTTTAACTTCAAAAAGAAAATTCTTTGATTTGATTAAATTGATAAATCGATAATTCACAATATTGGGTATAATTGTGGCAAACCGGTATAATTTTAGGTGTGCCGAGAATTGATGAATTCGGAATGGACATTGAACTCGATTGTAGCAATTTTAAATGGAATTCGATATTAAAATCATTTGGATGGAAAATGTTACGGATCCGATGAATTTAACATTCGGCTGCTATTAAAACTAACCAGCAATTTGGAAAAACAATTTTATATAAATATAATTTAAATCCTTGAATAATGAAACAACGCCTTGAATAATGAAATAACGACTCTTGAGCTCGATTATTTTATTTTTCCACCGAAAATGTAAGTCTCATATCAAATAGCATAATTTAAATAGTATCATCAACTGCCACGAAGAAAGTATCAAATATTTATTGCCGACCGGTATTTGTGAGACCTGTAGTACATAAATTATTAACAGGTGTATTATACAATTTAATTTTTGGATTTTACATTTATCCCGCTTATTTTTACGCGGCTGGAGGGTTTTTGCGGCTCTTTAGAATGAAGCGATTTTAAACGAACTAAACAGCGCTTTCGTGTTAAATTCACCTGTAACTCTTCACGCCGCTTCTGTTATACTTTCTAAAGCTTTTACGTCTACATCCGTTAGCGTTAAAATTCGTTACCACATTGCACTGTGATTGAAGTGCATTTTCTGATTAGAGCGAAAAAGAAGAAGAAAAATTTGTACGATTCTCTTAAAATAAAATAATTACATCTCATCTACTCTTTAACTGGTTTAATTCTGATTTCAGTAAATTTTGATAGTATTTGGGTTCGTTAAAAATGAGTTAATTTTATAGACGATTAAGTAGTTAAAATCCTTTTTGTAAGTACCCTGTATACACTTTAATTATCGGCTATCTAAAAGCGTTATAAATAATATACCTTTTTCCATCATGAATATGTAACTAAATATGCTATGTAAATAATTTTCCATAGAAGGATAATTTAATAACCTGTCGAATAAATTCATAACATCGTGCATATTATGCGATCAAAATATCAGTCACCCCTTTCTGACTCCTCTACGTATACGTTTAATTTGGTCAGTTAAAATCTCGACGTAATTCTGTTTCCGACATGAAAGTCAAATTATATCCGTTATCGTCTGTCCATCCGTGCTCATATGTGCCAAGATTGAATTAGCAGAATAATCAATCAATCTAACGGAAGCAGGATACGCCGATAAAACTTATTGGGAAATTAACAGAGAGCATCAGGCCTACGGGATTCATTGAATATTAGAACGCAGTTTTAGTGTTCTCGAATTACAAATATAAATCAATGCAAATTAATCGCTAATAGAATAACAATTTTCACCGAGCTGCGTAATTCATCGAATTTATTAAATCCGTCTAGTCAATTTATAATTGCGCCGTGCGCCGTAAATCCGATATAATTTCTGGTTTAAAATATCATCGGAGCAATTTCGGAAGATAGCAGATACAAATTGACTTTTATGTCGGAAATAGAATTACGCCGTGAATCTAACTACCGAGAACCGAGTGAATTTTCGAGATGAGATGATCGATTATCTTTTAACCTGTCAATGTTGTCGAGAGGGTGTATTATGCTTTATCGCGACGCTCCTAACACGACGGCGATAATAGCTGCTGGAATTTCGTAATTGATTTTATCGTCCGGCGACGCGACAGCCGCGCTATAAAAAATCTTTAGATGTTTCGATTAAATTCCCAACGTTTCGCAGGTACGTGATAACGAACTTATGCGGAGAGTCCTGCTACACGCCCGACTGGCTGGTGGGGCTGCTCTTCTGGGTGGGCTACTTCAATTCCGCCCTCAATCCGCTGATATACGCTTACTTCAACCGGGACTTCCGAGAAGCCTTCATGGACACGCTGCTGTGCGTGATGCCCTGCTGCTTCAGCTGCTGGAAAACACCCGCTAGGTTCCTTTAGCCTCAACATTCGAGGTCTGATTACTATCAAGACGAAAGACTGTGATATTGAGTCGCTTTTAAAGCTTCTTCTTCTTATCGAGTAAGTATACATTTATTAGCGAAATTGAAGCGGTAAGAGAGATTGGTTAATTAGATTAGAATTAGTTTATTAATAATGTAGTGAATATCGATTGTGTAGACAAAATTCGGTTTATAATTTTGTTTGATGGTAATTGCAATGTTGTAGGTAAGCTGATACGGAAAGCATTAATTTCTGCTCAACATTTATTATTGATGAATTATTATTAGGAGAGATAATCTTCCCTTAGTGAGCTTATACGCGACGTTTTACCCGAGCTTTTAAGCCGATCAAACCCAGAACATCAATTTAGTAATATTCTCCTGCTTCCACTTTTATGGTATATATCTTCCTGCTATAGAAAACTTTGGAATTTTTAACTCTGGAAAAGGATAATAATTTTAAATTTTTTTGAAACGACAGTTGAGTTTCTAGAAGTAAAAATTATTTCGAAGAAAAAACCTTCGTTTGCTCAGCAGTCAGTATATTTACATCTTTAATTGTGTTTTCCATAAATAAATTTAGTAATAATACCTACTTATTAAATATTTAAATATCAACTTATATACTCCATATAAACGGTATAATATGTAAATTACACAAAATATTTCTATGATGTTAATTATTTCATTGCGACCATTAAACTTACATTTTTTTAGCTTTCCGAGCTAAATATTTAAATACTACCTACTCATATGTAGTTCGAAATTGGGGGTAAAATTAGTTTATAGAATTGCCGAAAGCTTGCGAAGGCTCGAAGGTATAATTGTATAACTGTATAATTGTATAACTCCACAACTTCATGAAATTTAGGACTCATCGGCTGTATAATAAATATTTGACTTGTAAATGGTGAAGCACCTGCGAATATAATTAACGCCGTTTAAGTTGATTTGAATGTTTAAAAATTATTTAATTTATGCTGATGGATTAATTGTAGATATATGATTTTTTGTGATTGGTTTAATTTAGTATTTCGATTTTCAGCTGGATTGGGAAAAGGATTAGGTGCTTCTGTCTTCGAGTTCCCCAAGATGTCGATGATTCATTTTGATCGTTAGAAAGATGGATGAAAAGACTACGATGGAGTGTCACAAAATTAACTAGCTAATTTAAAAGAGATTTGTTGCTCATTTTCGTATAAATTTGTTATGTATTGTTTAACATATTTTCGACATTTTTATAAATTGTGACACAGCAAGCCAGGAGAGATGTGTAAAAATAACTGTATTTTAGGTTTAATAATTTTTTGCATGTTGCAAAAAAGTGATTTTCGATAGCGATAAATTCTAACCCGAAATTATGAAGATAGTTTATTGAATTTTAAAATTTACAAACCATATTTTCCTGCTTCTTTTTTAAAAATTATTTACATGTGGAACAGTTGATACTTAAAGCAATAAATCAAGACTATTTTTTGGCTTTTGTAGTTACTTACATTAAAACCACAAACAGGCCTAATAAAATGTATTTATAAAATTCAAAATAAATGATAAAAGAAACTAATATCATAAAAATTATCAGGTTTTTTAACACATGACGACAATCTACTTTGAACTAGTACAGTAACCATGCATATCAATATAAAATGTAGGTATTTCAATTATTTACGTAATACAGTGCGACAACAATAAATGTAAAGGTCTTCAGCTATACCAGTCGCACTGTACCTATTGGTAAGTGAACATGGATAGTGCATCCGTCCGACGAGAAAGAAATTTCAGGAATTTAGGCAAATGATTTTTGGAATGTCGATAATTGTAATTAACGTTCACGATACAATTTTAATTAGCGTTTACGCCGAAAACGAATCGAATGGATTCGCCGGCATGTCTACATGTCTGTTTGTGGTTTTCACACAACGTGATTGTTTATGAACTCCATTAGAAACTAAATTGAACTAAAGTTTTCCCATTTTAGTGCATCTAATGAATAAAAATATTACAGGAATGGGTTTTATTATGTTCACTGAAAGTCTACGTTGCCAGGTCTAGTAAAATTTCAATAAATATAGCGATTTTTACAAATGTGCTATTGATTTGTGGGTAGGTACTTTTAATGATGTTTTATTTATGTTTTCGAATAAAACAATTTTTCAAAAGATTTAGAAATTACTTAACTAATAATAAATCAATTAACTCTCCTTGCTTTTGAAGGTATGTAAAAGACTCTTCATATTTTCAATGATTCTGATCTGGTAAAAGAGACGATATTATTCCTAAATAATCACATTGTTCTTACAACACAACTTTGTTCTGTGATATTATTAAGCGTTAACGTATTTTCTTTTGTAAATAAATTAGATATCCGTTCGCGGATAAAAATGTGATAATGTAATGTTATGTAAATACGTTTAAATGCATTATACTCGTATATTTTGCAGGATGTTCCATGAAATACCACTAATGAAATCTATACCAGTAATAAATATCCTACATATATATAGATGTAACCCTTGACAGGGGATATAGACTGATTGGCGAGAGAAATTAAAAAAAAGTTTCTGGGGCATTGGGAGGTAGATGGGGAAACGTAAAAAAAATCGCTGATTACGAAAATCTACCTCTTTTCTCCAGCTAAATTCGTTTTTTTTCGTAATTCGATTTTGAAAGTAAATAAAAGTGAAATTTTTGACACATTTCCAAATAAATTACTTGATGGACGTTGCCCGTTCGTTTGGTTTAAACGGAACTACACCGAAATAAGAGACTTTTTTGTTATTTAGACAATTTCGTCGTTTTTAATAGACGAGAATAAAAGAAAATGCAATAATACGCAAAAATGTACGTTTCTTGGTCATTTGTAATTACCAAAAACGGAGAAACGATCGAATTACTTTTAAAAAAACTACACTTATGACAGCGGCGATGAACAAATTTCAAACTGTCAAAGTTGTCATTTCCGTTACTACGGGATACATTTACATTTAATTTGATGTACAGGGTGTTTTTTCATTAAGGAAATCGGAAAAATTGATATACGAAGCGTTTTTAACATTAAATGAAAAATTATTTTTAATAGAATTGAAATATAGTACAGGGTGACTCGTATTTAAGGAAATGTTAATTATACATAAACCGAGCGAGCAAAGCGAGCGAGGATCCGGCTATATAACTGCATTTGCGTAGAACGCCGATAGGCGTTCGAGCTGCGGGTCTATGCGGCAGAGCCCATCGTTATCCACAGCAATTTAGTCGAGCTCGCGCAGCGAGCGAGACCTTAGTTATTTAACAGCCTTTGCGTAGGAGGCCGTCAGGCCTCCGAGCTGCGGGTCTATGCGGCAGAGCCCATCGTTAACTAGAGCGATTTAGTCGAGCTCGCGCAGCGAGCGAGACCTTAGTTATTTAACAGCCTTTGCGTAGGAGGCCGTTAGGCCTCCGAGCTGCGGGTCTATTCGGCAGAGCCCATCGTTAACTAGAGCGATTTAGTCGAGCTCGCGCAGCGAGCGAGACCTTAGTTATTTAACAGCCTTTGCGTAGGAGGCCGTTAGGCCTCCGAGCTGCGGGTCTATTCGGCAGAGCCCATCGTTAACTAGAGCGATTTAGTCGAGCTCGCGCAGCGAGCGAGACCTTAGTTATTTAACAGCCTTTGCGTAGGAGGCCGTTAGGCTTCCGAGCTGCGGGTCTATTCGGCAGAGCCCATCGTTAACTAGAGCGATTTAGTCGAGCTCGCGCAGCGAGCGAGACCTTAGTTATTTAACAGCCTTTGCGTAGGAGGCCGTAAGGCCTCCGAGCTGCGGGTCTATTCGGCAGAGCCCATCGTTAACTAGAGCGATTTAGTCGAGCTCGCGCAGCGAGCGAGACCTTAGTTATTTAACAGCCTTTGCGTAGGAGGCCGTTAGGCCTCCGAGCTGCGGGTCTATTCGGCAGAGCCCATCGTTAACTAGAGCGATTTAGTCGAGCTCGCGCAGCGAGCGAGACCTTAGTTATTTAACAGCCTTTGCGTAGGAGGCCGTTAGGCCTCCGAGCTGCGGGTCTATTCGGCAGAGCCCATCGTTAACTAGAGCGATTTAGTCGAGCTCGCGCAGCGAGCGAGACCTTAGTTATTTAACAGCCTTTGCGTAGGAGGCCGTTAGGCCTCCGAGCTGCGGGTCTATTCGGCAGAGCCCATCGTTAACTAGAGCGAGACCTTAGTTATTTAACAGCCTTTGCGTAGGAGGCCGTTAGGCCTCCGAGCTGCGGGTCTATTCGGCAGAGCCCATCGTTAACTAGAGCGATTTAGTCGAGCTTGCGCAGCGAGCGAGATCTGGTTGTTTAAAAAATTGATATACGGGGTGTGATTAATTTCCAAACGAAAATTCAATCGCACCGAGCTCGCGAAGCGAACGAGGATCCGGCTAGCAAACTGTCTTGCGGCGAAGCCGCCACCATAAGGAAGGGGGGTTGAAAGGGGGCACAGCCCCCTTTCCGAGCGTTCAGCGAGTCACATATATATATAGCTCTAACTCCAAAAAAACAAATGAAGGAGGAAGACCGAAACTAAAACGGAGTTTCTGGGGCATACGGAGGTACATGGGGGGACGTAAAATAATTCGCCGATTACGAAAATCTACCTCTTTTCTCTGGGAAAAAACGAAATTTTCCGTAATTCGATTTTAAAAGTGAAATTTTTGACACATTTCCAAATAAATTACTTGATGGACGTTGCCCGTTCGTTTGGTTTAAACGGAACTACACCGAAATGAGAGTTTTTTTTCGTTATTTAGACAATTTCATCGTTTTTAATGGACGAGAATAAAAGAAAATGCAATAATACGCAAAAATGTACGTTTCTTGGTCATTTGTACTTACCAAAAACGGAGAAACGATCGAATTACTTTTAAAAAAACTACACTAATGACAGCGGCGATGAACAAATTTCAAACTGTCAAAGTTGTCATTTCCGTTACTACGGGATACATTGACATTTAATTTGATGTACAGGGTGTTTTTTCATTAAGGAAATCGGAAAAATTGATATACGGAGCGTTTATACCGTTAAATGAAAAATTATTTTCAATTGAATTGAAATATAGTACAGGGTGACTCGTATTTAAGGAAATGTTAATTATACATAAACCGAGCGAGCGAAGCGAGCGAGGATCCGGCTATATAACTGCCTTTGCGTAGAACGCCGATAGGCGTTCGAGCTGCGGGTCTATGCGGCAGAGCCCATCGTTAACTAGAGGGATTTAGTCGAGCTCGCGCAGCGAGCGAGACCTTAGTTATTTAACAGCAAAGGCTGTAGCGTAGGAGGCCGTCAGGCCTCCGAGCTGCGGGTCTATTCGGCAGAGCCCATCGTTAACTAGAACGATTTAGTCGAGCTCGCGCAGCGAGCGAGACCTTAGTTATTTTACAGCCTTTGCGTAGGAGGCCGTTAGGCCTCCGAGCTGCGGGTCTATTCGGCAGAGCCCATCGTTAACTAGAGCGATTTAGTCGAGCTCGCGCAGCGAGCGAGACCTTAGTTATTTAACAGCCTTTGCGTAGGAGGCCGTTAGGCCTCCGAGCTGCGGTTCTATTCGGCAGAGCCCATCGTTAACTAGAGCGATTTAGTCGAGCTCGCGCAGCGAGCGAGACCTAAGTTATTTAACAGCCTTTGCGTAGGAGGCCGTTAGGCCTCCGAGCTGCGGGTCTATTCGGCAGAGCCCATCGTTAACTAGAGCGATTCAGTCGAGCTCGCGCAGCGAGCGAGACCTTAGTTATTTAACAGCCTTTGCGTAGGAGGCCGTTAGGCCTCCGAGCTGCGGGTCTATTCGGCAGAGCCCATCGTTAACTAGAGCGATTTAGTCGAGCTCGCGCAGCGAGCGAGACCTTAGTTATTTAACAGCCTTTGCGTAGGAGGCCGTTAGGCCTCCGAGCTGCGGGTCTATTCGGCAGAGCCCATCGTTAACTAGAGCGATTTAGTCGAGCTCGCGCAGCGAGCGAGACCTTAGTTATTTAACAGCCTTTGCGTAGGAGGCCGTTAGGCCTCCGAGCTGCGGTTCTATTCGGCAGAGCCCATCGTTAACTAGAGCGATTTAGTCGAGCTCGCGCAGCGAGCGAGACCTTAGTTATTTAACAGCCTTTGCGTAGGAGGCCGTCAGGCCTCCGAGCTGCGGGTCTATGCGGCAGAGCCCATCGTTAACTAGAGCGATTTAGTCGAGCTCGCGCAGCGAGCGAGATCTGGTTGTTTAAAAAATTGATATACGGGGTGTGATTAATTTCCAAACGAAAATTCAATCGCACCGAGCTCGCGAAGCGAACGAGGATCCGGCTAGCAAACTGTCTTGCGGCGAAGCCGCCACCATAATGAAGGGGGGTTGAAAGGGGGCGCAGCCCCCTTTCCGAGCGTTTAGCGAGTTCCATTAAATAACATCATAACATCAATTAGTATTCAAAGTGTAGATCGTTCAATATTGTGACATTTATTCGATTGTTTGTGCTTATTATAGAATGGTTGAATCGTGCTTACAATTTTGGAAAATTTGGATTATAATTCAATTTTGCTTTATAACATTGTATTGTGATGTCAACAAATTTGAAATGCGTAATCGTCAACATGGATGGAATAAAAAATCAGTTTTCCTTGGTCAATTGCAAATTCACTTTGCTTTATTTTAAAGAGGATTTTGTTGAAGACTTTGCAATTTTTTCGAATTTAAAAATGATTGCCTTGAACAAAATTCAAAGGAACCTATTCATTACCAAGTAGATAAAAAATAAGATAATAGCTATATTATTCAAATTATTTTTACTTATTGATCTATTTTGAAAGCCTCAACGCTTTATAATCATTCTAAAAATAGTAGAATATCCATTACATTCGTTTTCATTCCATTTATGTTGACAAAGCTTTAATTAGTATGTACTGCATAAAGTTTCCCCTTTAACTCAGATATTTTTCATGATAAATATGTAATATTTTATCGTTTAATGTGTTCTAGATGGAATATCCGTGAATAATAATCACTTTCATTTTAGAAATTACATTTAGTGGTTTCTATTTTGCTATTGGAATTTCTATTGTCTTCCAGATTTATTTCGGCTTTCCTAAACGCGAAAACAAATATAACGATTCATATTAGGTATTTATATCGATCAATTTAGCTGAAATAGAAATAAATCGGGTGTTTCCAAACCCGGAATAGTTGTTTAATATTTTACAACAAAATAACAGTCCCCGAAGATTGAAGAACCATGTGACATTTATTATGCAGTACAAAAATCTTTTAATATTGACATTTTTGCTAAATTCAATATTTAAAAGGAATTATTAAACGAGATATTTATCTCCTTGGAAATCTCCCCAGAGAACTCACCGTTTCCTTCTGAGACTTCTAATATTTTGTACAGGATATTTAAATAAACAACTGTGCTAAATTTCAACCCCTCAGATTTTTTCCCAATTATACCAATTATACGGCTGATTTCACTGAGCTAATTGTTAAAATTTGAAATGAAGTTAATGATCAACAAGGTTACAGAAGGAAAATTTAACAAAAAGGCGAATTCTCGTTTGTTCCAAAATCTTGCCAATTAGTCAAAATTGTTATATCTTAAATGTAAATATTGTTTAAATGTTTCGTTGAAAATCTACTGATGTTGATTTTATAGGTCTTATTTTTTAATAAACTATTCCTACGAAAGTGTGAAAGACAATTGTTAGTAGACGTTTGTCGATGTTAAATTAGATAATACAAAATATAATCTAATGTTGTACATAATTGGAAACCATGATAAAATTGACATTAAAGACAATCGTGTAGGCCTATTTGTAAAGTATATAGCAGATGTCTCTAAGGAATAAATCAAGTAAAGTATAAGTCCGTGTCAGATTGTACACAAAATATTAAAATAAACATTTGTTTGTTCATAATTCGTATGCTTATTTCCCCGAATTTCCTTCTTTGTCTTGATTTAAATTACTTAAAACAACCACCTGCACCAAAATCTGTTATAATTAAATTTTATCGTTTTGTTAATAAATAGCATATTTTGGTGTAGGTGCCTAGAATTAGTGAAAACTGTATTGGAAAATAAATCAATACTTTGTACTGGAAAACCAAAACGAGATGGCGCAATGGGTAAATTGATGAAAATCCATACAATTAAAGGCCTTTTTATTCAATCAAATTTTAATTTATTAATCATTTATTCAATCATGTGAATTAATCTTTGTTTAGAAATAGTTTTAATATTAATTTTAATTATTGATAGACATCTGTTGCTCATTTTACACAATGCGATTCCAAACTGGATTATTGATTAAAGAAAGAAAGATGCCTAGGTCATATTGATTTTTTGAATTCTTCTACGCCACAAGATGTCATATATTTTAGCATTTTCGTAGCATTTTGGAATTAAGCATCAAGCAATAAAAAATTCTTTCCACACATGTAAAATAAAAAAATAGAAATGTGCAAATTCAAAAGTAGTCAATTTTTATTATTTTTTGGACGTTTTATTAAAGGTGGGTACTGGCGCCGGATATTTGAAATATTGTATTATATTTGAGTAATTTAATTATGCGAGACACAATTAACTTAAGAAGTTTATTAAATTAGGTAAGAAAGGTCGGAATAAACTAATATTGAAGGAATACATTCAGTTTTCAAATACTTTAAAATATTTGATAATTGCAAAAAGAAAAATTGCAAGAAAAATGAAGAAAAAATGGACAAATTCGAGATCGCAGAGGAGCAGCAATAATAAGTACCTACCTAAAGAAATAAACCTGGTTTGTTAAAAGAGCAAAAAGGTAGAAAGTACACAATGAAATTTCAAGATTATTAAAGATTGTATAAAATCAGTTCTTGTATTAAACGAGTATTTAAAAGCTTCTTTTAATTGATCGATAAAACACAAATTTTCCCAAAGGTTTCCATCAATCCCAATTATTTAAATACCCCAAAATTTAACGCTTTGCAACCCCTTAAATCGCTCATAAATTACTCGCTAATAACTCGGACAGGCAGCGTCTGCCATTTCTCCGTACGTAATCGTTCGCAAAACACAAATAAAAATTTGCATTTAGTAACAAGACGCGCCTCTCGGTCCGCGCGCAAAAATTTTCATTATGCATTCCGCACAGCGCCGCTATAAATAAACCGGCTTTATCATCCGAAAATCCGAGAAGACCATAAGAGTCGGGAGCGTGTCCCGTTCACCTGACAGAGGGCGCATCCGCGGCGGAGGAAAGCCGCGAAAACCTGGCGAGCGCTTTCCCCGACCGGTCACAGTAACGCGCGGCTACTCGGGAAACTCCACTATTAGCGATACCCGGACTGGTTTGAAAGTTTTCGCCGTACCAGCGGTCTTCGAGAGTTTGGTTAAGAGTGCGATATGCGGCTGGGAGGTTTCGGGTATTCTTAACGCTCATTGTGTGGTAGGTAAGGATAATTTTATCGGGAAAAGCGATTAATTAAGGAATATTTATTAATTTCTACGTTGCTCAATTATGGAGAGTTTCTGAATAGGAGTTTTTAGTGTATTTTTTGCAGTATTCTTGAATGGAATTTTCAAAAGATTTTTGAACTATTAACTATTGAAATTTTGATATATTTAATGATTTTTATGAAGTTTTTTGAAGTTTTTGATTTTGAAAAGCAATATTTAGAATACCTAGGTTATATTTTTCACAATTTTTGCAATAACTGCAATATTCCAAATTAATCGGTTTCCTCGCAAATTTCCAATTTCATGTAGTTTAGTAAACAAATTAAAGATGATGTTTTCATAAAAAATTATGGAGCGAGCGAATCTCTACAGCGGAAAAGCTTGCAATAAAATTTTATATGCCCACTTAAAAAAAATTTAATAAAACCCGTTTAACAGCGATAGGGAATTACATAAAAAAATCGCTTGGCTTATTAAGTATTTTCATAAATTTATTCCTCCGACCGCGAGTAACCCGAAACTACCGCGAAGATGCCGAAAACGGGCCAGTGAGAGATAGATTGAAGTTTTTATGCCGGCTCGAATCCCGATAAACTGTATCATTAAGAAATATACCGTCTTTTTGAATTATTTACCATCGGGAAAACTCCGGAGATTCCCCGGTTTTTAATATCGCATTTCGGATAACAGACATGGGATTTTTAATTTAGAAGCCTTATTCCCCCTCGTTCGTTTTCTTTCGCCTTTCCGGAAATTATTAAGCGGATGATTATTGGCAACCAGGTGTTACTCGTGATTTAAAATTGCTGTAGGTGCGCAAATATAAACTAAATTTGTCTGTTTTAAAAATAATGTTTAATGGAAAATCCCTTTGCCAATAAATCCACCCTTCTAAAAAAAGCAAAACTCTTTAAAGCGACGGTTGGAATTCATGCAATTACTTTTAGAATTAGGTACTATATTTAGAATCCCATTCAAAGGTATTTGCGATGATTATTAAATATTCTAAAAGGAATGGAATCGGGTTTGACGAGGGTACGTTTTGCATGCAAAACAGATCGGAGTTTTCCGGGTAAATAAACGAATACATCTACTCACCAAATAAAATGGTATATTACATGCACAAAGAATAGTGGAGTTTTTTTTCTTAGGTTTTTGACTAGCATGTTTTGAAAAGACTTAAAAATTACCAGCGAGGGAATATCGAGATACCCTTAATGTGGTCTAATTAAATAAACATCCGGTTTAATCAGAAGATACTTTTAAAGTCGTTATAGAGCATAATTCGATACCGGAGTTTCTAAGGCGAAAGTTTAATTCAATAAAAACCATTTCGCTCAAATTTACATACATATAATGTATTAAATTAAAAAGCAAGAAATTGGGCAAGAAGTTTCATACTTCTAGAAATAACTTAATCGTATAGATGGTGTACCAAAAAAGGATTCTCGACAAATATACTTTTTACCAAACATATTTAATGTTTCCAAAAAACGTGTTTGGATGATACTGTAGAATATGAAAATGGCTTTAAAAATGTATATTTTTCGCAAATGTTTATTTTTAATTAGTTATATTGAATTGAACTGGAAATGGAAAAGTTGATAACGGAAAATCAATTATATTTCATAGCCAAAATTGATAACAATATACGCAAAGCAAATCTTTAGGTCGAAATGATGAATTTTAAATAAAACTTTTTAATGTCATCATATTATTTTGTCATTCAAATAATTCAAAGGAAAGCAAGCATTGTAATACCCTTAAAGTGACAAAAGTTTGCATTTAGAAATGCTTTCAAAAAGTGCAGATACTACAATGCAGTAGTAAAAATCCGCTACAGTTCAAAACTTCTATATTACGAAAGAACTTTAAGAAAACAAAAATTACATAGCACAAACAAATAATAGAAGGATTAGTGAAAGAAGGAAAAGTTTTAAATCTTTCAAAATACATACAAATAGATACAGCTCGCGCTACATACAAAAAGCATTTACCTGACACAAAAAAGTTTTCCAGAAGCAGTAATAAGTTTATTTGCAAAAATACACCTAAAGCTTTGTTTAAAAATAAACATGTTGAAAATCAATACATCTACAAATTTTATCCAAATGCGAATTGCTGTACAATAATTTGGCAATTAAATCCCTAGTCATTGGATTATCCGATTGGTTCGTGATTGATTAATCCCACCATTTTTAAAACAATATTTTTTTGTTCGAATACATTCGTTCGGATGATTAATGGATTGATTAATCATACCATAATTCATTGGTAAACTTCGGAGCGATTTGGGAAACTTTCGGTTGCTAAATCAGACATTTTTCCGATTCGATGGAACCCGCCAAATTATTACGGCAAATCTCGAGTAATATATCTATTATGCAGGCCTTTTTGCAGTCTTCCGTGCCGGTTAGTTTCGCTTCATTTCCATTAGAACGAGGGAGAGTTTTTAATATTTTACACGGAGCAAAACTAAAAAAGCCGGTTGGAAAATTTATTCAGGAGCGTCCTTAGAGATCGATTTACTATTCGTCGTCTCGTAGATTGCATTATTTATTCCGTTCTAGTTGTATTGGTATCAGTGGTATTATTGAGGGCACCTAGTGATCGAAACAATGCGAGGGCTAAACTCCCTTAAATACTCACTCGGGGACCCATTTGCCAATTTAGTACCTGTACCTAAATGCAGTAATTTTAAAGTAATGTACGCAAATCATATTAATAAGTACGAAAAAGGACTAATTAGTGTATAGTTAACAAAACTTTTTTACGGCAAATATAAATAAATTTGTTTTCTAGGGCGATATATCTCTCTTACTAAATGTCAAACGATACCTCGTGCTCTTATACACAATTCCTGGAACGTACACTCCGCTCTGTACTATTAATGATTAAACATGTCTTCGCTATTCACTGACATTTGCCAACATTTATTTTGCCACAACAGCCTGAGGTCGATACAATAGGAACCTTTCCACGGATTTAAACATTCAAAAAGTTCTTCGACTCGACACGAAACGTGATTGCAATAAAAAAATACGAGCAATAAAATTGCAATGCAGAATTCATGAAAAACTTTCGATACTCAAATCTTTTGGTTGAATGTACCTATTGCTCGGAATTATTAATGGAGAATCTGACAATTTTACCAAAACTGCAATTCGTTGCGAAATTATTTCAGATATAATTACATTTGACCTGTGGCAAATCTTGCATTTCGAAACGCATTGCATTAATGAAAATGCCTTTTGATATGAAATGAACGTAACAATAGTAATTAGAGATGCTATTGTGATAAATTAGCGATTCTTTCAATTACAATCTGCCTACATTATTTCTAAAGAGTTGAGCAGTGATTAAATTTCGGGACTTATTACTAGGTATTAGTAAATACCGTATCGAAGCCGTTAAAGTAGACAACAGAAATTACAAAACGAAACAATGCCTTTCGTGTATTTGCTAAATAATCGCATTAGTAATAATGGAAGATGCCGTAGAAGTAGGGCTGTTCCATTTTCAAGATGCACAAATTCTGTAGAGCAACGGTAATTAGATAAGTATTGTGCTCAACCTTATGTACCTAACCTATACCAGTTTCAAATATTTTGCAGATTTATAAGCTTGTAATTAATAAGGAACAATTGGAAAATATTTAATTAACAGTTATTTAGTTAATTAAAAGCACTTACCTTTTTATGATCAATTTTAGTTATTTAAATTTGTGCAATTTCATTACATTTGCTTCCATTGATTGATTTAATTATTATGTGGATATACCTACCTAGATATTTCATAAATTACTTTTCAACTATGTCAATTAATTTTAAAATTGATTTAACAAAAATTATAGGGTATGATATACTTATATTTCTATTATTTGACATAAATTCGTCGATATTTGGGAAATTAATAGACGATTCTGTTTCACTACATCATTATTTGATTGTGTGAAATGTCGTTTAATGAGGACAATTTAATTAAATTGATATTTTTTCATTCTCTAAATAATCTCTTCATTCATTAAATAGAAGAATATTAATTTTTTTATATTTTATAGTAAAAAAATGTTAGTAAAAATATTCTTATATTAGTGAGTAGGATTAAATTTAAAAATTGGTCCCTTTCAGATCCGCAATATCATAACTATAATGTCCATATGCTATTTCTATAAATGCTATAACAAATTATTTCTCCATATAAACGATTTTTATCTTGTAATAGAAATGTTGTCATTGCAAAAATCACAATTAATAAATTTCTACACAATTAGAGTTTTTATATAGAACTATATAGATATAGAACTTCATATAGAACTTCAATTAAATAAATTGCCCAGCAAATGCAACAAGCGCTCGAATCCAAACGAAAAAACCCGAATAGAAATTATGGAATAGCGCGGAAGGAAAAAGCCATTAGAAAATCAAAAGCGAAAGGCGTTTTGCGTCTTCCGGAGAACGATAACTATAAATTAATAAAAGCAAAAACGTGCTTTATGCACAAGCTAATGTTTAAATTTTAAAACTACTCCGAATGCAGTTACTGCTGTTTACAGGTCAAGGAAAGCGAATTTCGAACACGCACACGTACATTTATATTTTTTCAACACATTGTGTAATTGAAATGTAAAATTTTAAAATTCTTGAAAAAAACTACGTTACTTGGACGATTAAATGCTGATGAATTGACAATAATAATGCCAAAGTAGTTGCATTTTCGACTCGACCAGTTCCTACACGACTCGATATTGTCCGATAAATCCATTACACTTTCCTGCATTTTGAAGCAGCGGCCTTTTATCGCAAACAGCGATTTGATTTCCATATTTGGCAAGACACACCGAAAATGTTGTTCAAACAGTAGGAAATTCGGGCCTATAAGTGATTGCGTGTATTCTGATACGGATTTTAGTAGATATAAATTACTTGTTCGAATGAAATTGCGGCCGTTCCGTGGATAATTTCCATAATGATTTATTACAAAAGGGAGAAATATGAATAACGATTAGTGCTTGAGGAACCCCTCCGGGATTAGTCATTTGTAATTCTGGTTTTTATTGCACGCTTGTTTACATGCGAAAAAACTGTTATTTGTTGTCGCTTTGATACGTGTAGATCACAAATCATTCGAGTTACCTGCGCATTCTATTATATTTTGAATAAATTGGAAATTATACGTAAAAAAGCAAGATGTTGTATTCCCTAAAATTGTCTCGACTGGAATAACGAAATGCATTGTGTAATATTGCCTTGAACATTAAGGAAAAATTGGCAAGCAACTAAAGAATGCCCGAACGCTCTTCATTAAACTAAGTGACAAGAAAATGTATTGCAGCGCCTTGTAGGTATTTGCAATGTAGCTTATATAAAGTCTATCCATCAAAAAATAAGGGCACATTCCGCCAGCTGACGTATTTCTCTCATCAGTTTCCATATTACCAAAACCTTATACTGATGTTCCTAAAAAAACAAGTCGCTTCAGCCATGTTATGCATACATATTTGAAGTATCAAATTTTAAAGAAACTCAATGTACCTACCTATTTAAAATTACATAAAAGATTTATAAATATTAAAGAGTAGTTAAAATGAATCACTCTGAAAATACCCAGTTAAATCTATTAAGAAAATTCCTATGATCGTTTATCAGCTTTATGACAGAGTTTCGTCCATTTTTCCGAATACAAAAGCAGTTAATAGGTTTTCCTACTTAAAATTACTCACAAAAATATCTACTTTTCTAAAAGAGATATTTTCGGGAATCGATATTAAATCCGTCATAAATCTGCAGCAGTTCTGATAAATGATGATTTTCGTAAAGAGAATTCAGCAGATTTTGGAGCCTTTCTAACATTACATCCCCGATGAAACCGTTATTGAAATTGATTCTGTTGTATCATTCCTCTACATAATAATACAAGAAATGAATTCGAATTGAATCTAACATTTTAGAACGCATTGAAAATCCGAGTTAAGTACTTATTTAGCGCACCGGACCAATAAAACACTATTTTTAATAGCAACTAAGTCTGCAACTGGAGAAACATCAGCAGCTTTTACGCTCTAGCTTTACGACGCCCCAACTAGAATAGTAGAATAAAATTAACTGTACGCCTTTATGGGATACTTCGCGATTTTTATTGCAGTTTTAAATCTTTTATATATATTCTTAGTGGAAAATAATCAGTTAGAAATGAAGCAAAAATGGCCCCGGAGAAAGAGGATTAGTTCGATTTTCGAAATCGAATTCCATCACAGCATTTGGATTACGGGGATATACCCATATTGAAAACGATCTTTATTTTTAGACTTTATCGGACAGAAAACTAGGAAAAAGAGGATTGAAATTTAATGGGGGAACTAAACTGAATATCCGGGTTTCTGCAAATAAGTCGAACGAATAGGAAAAGTAAATCGAGCTTTCTTCTCCTAATAACAATAATTAGGTTTATTTTTATACAGAGTGAAGGGACTGTATTACATCGTCGATTTATTAAAGAGAGAACTTATTGGAAACAAAACTTTTGCTACCGAATAATCGAAGGGTCATATATCATAATAATATTGACAAGGTCTTCACATGACAGAGACGTTATTTTCGGAACTTTTATTATTCATTTCTGTTTCCTTGCCAAATTGTCCGGGGATTTAAGAGTTATTTTATTTATTGAAAATGGGTTTCAGTGATTGTCTACTCTAGTATCAGAGGTGTGCCCTAATAAATAGCTAATTTTGCGTCTTTCAAAACCCTTTAAAATCACTCTTTATAAAATTATAACGATCCCTGTAATATTCATTGATTGAAAATATTTTTGCTTTCGATTCAACTTATTTCCCAACAAAAAATGTAAATAAAAAAGCATATAAAATCGTTTATCATCTTAAATACTCATTCAATACGATGTTGAAAGGTTACAAGTTAATATTTTCGTTCCCTTTGTACAAAATTCGCCCTCTTTTCCTTATTATTCCAACGAGAAAAGTTAAAAAATAAAGATAATCCATGAATTTAATTTGACGTCTATTCTTTTTGACAAAAACAAAGAAAACAAAAAAGTGTAATATCGGAATATCAAAAATCCGAGTTGATATTGATTTTCGATTTCTTGAGGCCCTGGAGAAACCATAACAAAAAAAACCAATCCCCATTCGCCTAATTTCTGCGAAATTTTCTGGAATAGGGCAGAGCATAATAAAGCGCCTATATTCATAATGAGAACAGTACATTCTGAATTCACGCAGTAGCACAAAAGATCAATAATGATGTTAGAATAAGAACTTGTCCAAAAACCATTTTATTATTCGCAAATTATTCAAAAATTAACTTGCTATTTCTTTATAGACTAGCCAGCAGACAATAAAATGAAGTGCCAATCACCATAGCAACCGTATGCAGTTCGATCGCTCCAAGTAAACCATCACCATTCTATTGCTCAATCGCTCAATCAAACACACAAAATGAACGAATTTATGAAAATCACCGATCAAAAAACCAGAAACACCTCCGAGATCATCGAAGGCAACTTCACCGATCACATCACCAACAGCTCCGTAACGGATCCGTTCAATCCGTGGCCGTCCCACTCGTGGCTGCTCTGCTTTATGGTGGCGCTGAAGACTTTGATCATGGTCTTCATCATAATCGCGGCGCTGTTCGGCAATCTCCTAGTGATCGTGTCCGTGATGAGACACCGAAAGTTACGCGTCATCACCAATTATTTCGTCGTGAGTTTGGCCCTGGCCGACATGCTGGTGGCCATTTGGGCCATGTGTTTTAACTTTAGTGTCGAAGTTAGTGGAGGTAGATGGATATTCGGGTATTTTATGTGCGACGTGTGGAACTCGTTGGACGTTTATTTCTCGACGGCGTCCATACTGCATTTGTGCTGCATCAGCGTCGATAGGTGAGATAGCTTTTTTAATATCCCATACATGTTAGCAGGCTTTAAAACACATTTTTATTTCACCTGTATGTAGGTAGGTACTAGATTATAAAATTCAACTACTATTTCAATAACACCATTTAATGTCCAGTTTTGTCATGCTTTATCTAATTTACATTGATACATTCTCTCTGTTACAATATTCACCCGAAATTACCTACTACTATATTAATTTAGTACGAACTGTGTACTAACATCTTATTGACTTCATACAACGTATCGTATTGTAGTAATAACAATCAATTCAATTTGGGTCGTTTGATGTATTACATGAGAAATCAAGGTAGGTAGAATGGAGCTTTTGAACCTCAATTGCTTGCAAATCAATCAACATTAATAATTACCGATGTAAACGTATTTATACGTGACGGCCGCAGGGAAATTGTAGCAAAAATAGATTTGAGTTGTTAATTTTACATTTTAAATTATTCCTTCGTCCTTTATTTATCGCAATATGGAAAAACAGGAAAAATAAATTAGAAATGCGGGTTATTTCTGTACGTATTTGCATCATTTATTTCGTAGTATCGAGTCGATTTGAAACAGGTGTCTTCGACAAAGTTTTGAAATTCAAATTAAGAATGCAGGAAATTTATACATCAATAATGTATAAGAATTACCTTGGAAGATTAACATTAATTTATAATTGTTTCATTTATGTAATGAGTCTTTTTACTAGTATTCCTTGAATTTGACACTTTGCATAAAAGTTACATACATATATACTCGTAGTATTTTCTTAATTACATAATGGTCTTGCAAAATTCTGATTAATATAGAGTAGTTAGCATACTCGTATGTGCAACATGGGTTATACACTAACTTGGAGAATCTACAGTGGGAATTGAAATAATAATTATCTTCTGGGAAACCCAAAATCAACTCACAGTAATGTAATGATCAAAAGGAATCCAGGATTTGTCTCTTGTATATATTTACCTGCTTTTGCTGAATCTATTGGATGATATTATTAGCAGAGCTCGAAAATTCCCAATGGATGTACTAGGAATACATGCATTCTCCTATTTAAATTGGATGAAGCAATTACGCTGATGTTACCTGAACAACTCGATTTGGCTGTGGGTTTCGTTCTTGATTTACTATCTCCAGGGAATTTCAACGGAAATATTTACTTCAGATTTAATATGAAACGGGCAACAGAAATAACTGAAAGTTTTGAGTAGGACGAACTTTAGGTATAACGGCTAATTAGATAATAAATTCATTTAATAATTTCATTGAAGTGAATTGTGTAGGTAAAAGAGAATAGTTTCGTTTCGTGAAAAATCGTTTTTTTATCATTTATTTAAGATAAGAGTAATCCAAAGGCGAAATGAACATTTGCCGAAGATTATCCAGTTGCAATTCCATTAACTTGGAGCGGGACAAAGGCTAAAGCCAATTTGAATACTGCTATTTATTATTTTGTTCGCAGCAAAATCAATATAGAGTTTTGTTTTAGAACGCCAGATAGATACACCCGTTTCGCGCCGCTCGACCCACTTCAATTCGAATTGTTTAAACGTTTTTTTTTTTTTAATCGGAACTGGAAAAGCAAACAATTCCTTTTTATTTAATCGCTCTCAGTCCCGAAAATTTCACAATACAAAACTGCCGCTCCATCATTTTCACCCAATAAAAGTCGTATATTCAGATCGTTATCGTTACCGCGGCAACGTCAATAATTTCCCGAAAATATTCACCTTCCACGGCTTTCGAACAGAACACATTGCACTGGAAATTTTTCGACGTGTGTACATAACGCAGAAGTGCTATGTTGAAGCTGACGTTTCATTTGGCGTAATTTAGGCGTCGGGCTTTCTTACTCGGTCCTCCATCAAGTTGAATTTTGCGCCCGAATTTTCGCAAAAGAAAGCGCCTAAATGTACATTCATGCTTAGTATTTTCCAGGCATTCTTTATATAATTTCGTTGTACACAAATGCACTCAATGCAAAAACGTTTTTTTTTTGTAGATATTACGCCATAGTCCAGCCCCTGGACTATCCCCTAATAATGACGAACGTGCGCTTGGTGTTCATGCTGGCGGTGGTGTGGTTTTCCCCTGCGTTACTTTCATTCCTGCCGATTTTTATGGAATGGTACACGACGGCCGAGCACTTGGAATTCCGCAGGAGGAATCCGCATATCTGTTCGTTTACAGTGAATAGAACTTATTCAGTGATATCGTCGAGCGTCAGTTTTTGGGTGCCCGGAATGGTTATGATTTTCATGTACTACAGGATATACGTGGAGGCCGATAGGCAGGAAAGAATGCTGTATAGGTAAGCAGAATAATACGGGGGTGTTTTCGAACTACATTTCATTATAATACAACTGTGTGGGATGTGGAGGGTTATTTTATTTCAGGAAACCTAACTCTTTTAATATGTTTTTCAATTTTAGGCTCCGAATAATTAATAATTCTCTAATACTGGCTTATGTAGGTACCTACAGAATATGGCAGCTCTATATTCGATTATAGACCCCCTAGTGTTAAAAATTTTATTCCGTGAAATTGGACACGGGTGGGCATGACGTTCTACAATCTCCGATTGAAAATTATCCGGCTAAAAATGTAAATTTATTTTCATGGCAGCGGCACAGAGGGATTAGCGAACACATGTGCGACAAAGCCCTCGGTTTCGGAAACGCGTAAGCCGCGGATATGTGGAACTCGACTGAAAATGCGGGATTTGCGAGTCCGATTCCGAAGTTCCAGACGAACGAATCGCTTGTGCTTCGAATGTGCTCGAAATGCACGCGCGTAGGCGGTCATCGCTGAAAGGAGTATCATTTTTTATTTGTTCGCCTGCCATGAAAAAATCTAATGGTTTTACTATCGCTCCGGAAAAATGGAGATGCCAACTGAATCATAAAAATTTTTTTTAGATATACGTAACTTTATACAGAGTGTCTATGTTGGAGCGCTGCAAACAGTAGAAAGAGAGAATTAGTCGAACTGTGGAGAGGCGCGGCTTCGGCGCGATGAATCGGCGGACGAATGTAGCGCTCGACTTTAGACACAGTGTATGTCACTGACTCGATATTCATATTTCCAGACGATACAATACGTTTGTTATAATTTAATTAACCAATTGTTTGTTGGTAATATTTCCGTGTACCTACCTACAAATAATACATCAAACATTCTACACAAACAGGTATTTATTCAATTCGATAATATGCTTTAGGGGCTTTAACTTTTAAATCATATGTGTAAACAGAATCATTACAAATTTTCGATTCGAGTCCGAACGATAAACGGTGCAACAACCATTCCGCATCATCCAATCCTGTTATGTTAATTGTAATCTCTAAATAAAATCTATTTATTCGTGGGGGAGAAAATGAGTATGTGCCTTTCAGTTGGGGGTTAACCCAATGCTAGAGGTTTTCCAATGACGGTGCTGTGTGATTAGAACCTCCAGAAACAGAACAATTAGTATATAATTACATATTCCGGCCCGCAGAACAGTCAACCCTGTACCCTGTCAACAACTTCACAAACAAATGTGCCGGTTTGTCATGATGGTAAACTGATGCTGACCTGGAAACGAGTCAATTAAAGTTCTAAAATTTCAACCGCAAAGTATATACATATACAGGGTGTTTTTAATAACATGCTAATACTGAAGGGAGTGTTTCTTGAACCCATTTTAAGAAAAAAAGTTCACATGAACATATGTCCTAAACCTAAAAATTATTATTTTTTATTTTTAGCACAGCGGCTAATGTAGCTAAAAGTATCTGCATGTTATTAAAAAACCTCCTGTAAAACATTTCATTTCTATTTATGAGGCATTACAAAATGTCTATTTCTGTTAAAACACTATTATACAAATCCAATCCAAAGTTACATATAGTTTCCTAAAAAAAATGCATATTAATCATCTCTTGACAAATCTAACTACACAAATATCTATCGCTAATCTTCCCGTATTCTAATCTACCGCAACTCCAATTAATAACCAACCATCACTCGACGTCGAATTAAAACCGAAAATTACATGTGTACAGACGCAAATTACACTAAATCCCTCTGCTTTGGGTAATCACATTCGAAACCGGGGGGCGGTTAGAATTTATTCTTCGCCCGCTGAATCCGAATCTGTCGCTCTCTTGCCTGTTCACCTACCGAAACTCTAAACTTATCTGTGAATTCGGCATTCAATTAGACCGAATACTAAAGGCGTATCCGATGGGTAAACCGCAGCGGATTATCGATGTAGTGTAGGCTCCGGATAGTTTCCCGGCGGTCGGGAGCGAATGGAAACTTAAAATGTGCCTCGCAGAGGTGCTCCTTGGAGTTACTTGAAAATTCTAGTCGGAGGAAAAGTTGAGCAAAGCAAAGCATTAAATACGTCTAATTTAAGCTAAGTAAACATTACCCTTCCGACATAGGGTGTTTATGAATTCTTGTTACGTTTAATAGTTTGTTTAGTAGGTACATTGAAGAGAGGACTATTAAAGCTTATGTTTAGAAACTAGGGCAATAGTTTTCGAATATTTACAAAACGAAAACTTAGGATATACTGACGATATTATTGTGGAATTATATTATTTTTAAATATTTAAGTCTGTTCCCCAAGTGACTTTTGTAAAGTTTAATCGAAATTTGTACGACTGTGTAAACTTATTCGGTACACCAATGGGGAAACCAAAGATGCGTAGGCATATAACCGAGATTAATATTATGGCGGGTTGACAATTTATAAGCGGGTTTGAACATTTTGTGTGTGAACAGAACAACTAATTTACTCGTAGCGGGTTATAATTTAGTCTTTAATTTCTAACGTAATATAATAAGAAGTCTGGCCACAAATTCAGTAGTCGAAAATTTAAACCCCTTTTCCTGTTAGTTACCTACACTTATATCGTTAATCGCTTAAAAATAGCTACATCTTCCTTAATCGTAACCCAAGTGAATAAAAACGAAAAGCTCGATTTTCAACCGCTGTACCTCAAGCGTCAAGTCCCAACTTTCTCCCAAATAATGATAGATGATACCGCCTAATTCGCTCTACTTCCTAAACGAACTAACGCGATTTTTTTTCATCGAACAGAAATTATAGAAACTGTGGGGGTTTTTCACGTGCCCTTACGTCGTCCGTCAGCAGTTTCTTCTCAATTCAAAATTATTCCACGTATTCGATCTCGGCAAAGGGAACAGCAACCCCCTAAAAACACACGACACACGTTTTAAAGAACATGCCGAGAAAAGGGTGCGAGTAGAAGCTCGTAAACGATTTTACTGCCTAAGTAAATACGGAAAAATGATATTTATCTTTCGGATCCAACAGAATCTTGTGAGTGATAAAAGAATATATGTAAGTGATAAAATTATTCATCACAATGTTTATTTCAAATGGATTTTCCACAACTACTTTTCTCTTTATGAACTGATAATTATGCGCGATAATTTATGTAAAATTAAATTGATATTTGCATACATCGCAGGAAGGTGTCGGATTAAAGTAAAAAAAAACTTTTTTGGTAGGTACGAGATAGGAGCTAATAATAACAGGCCGAAAATTCCCCGCTCCTTTTTCATACTCCTGCTCCCGTGAATATTCCAAATGGGAGTTTATGAATGGTTTTATAAACTCTCTCGGGCGGATATTTTGGCAGGCTTATCCGCGCGCAATGCGAGGGCTTTTTTCCCCAACTTTGACAATTGTGTTTAAATACCGGTTGAACGGATATAAAACTTGATTTCATTTAGCATAGCCGATTTGCCCAAAATGTTTACCTTTAAATATTGAGCATACATTGTATTTAGTGTACACGTATTATTTGAATAAAGGAAAATTATTTTAATTAATATGTTTATAAGAATTTCGTTGATTACTGTTAAAAAACACCCTGTGAAGAACAGAATTTTCTGACAAGCAAGACTTGTTTTAAATTAATCAAAATTTTCTACATATTAACTTCATTGTTTTCCAAAATAAAAATGTTTAAAAAATATTCCTCCGAGAAAAATATATTTTATTATTTCAACGTTCGTACTGAACCAAATGAACTCTTAAAGTAAATTGAATACTAAGCCCTTTAACGTGGTTTATGTAATAAAATTAAATCCCACCCTTTCAGTAGTCCTGGAAGCTTCATATTCCGCTCGAGCGCGATATTTGTCACAGCAATATCGAAAAAGCCTCCGTAGATGGATAAAACAGCAGTGCCGAAATACGATTTTGCAATTCGCTCGCCGGTAGGCCTTCAATAAGTTTCTTAATTGCATTAATATTGATGAAGAATCCTTTTAAAGGATTCCGGTCCGTTCGAAATTGCCGCGATTCGTTTCATTTCATCCGGATCATTTAGAATGCAAATTTGCTTGCAAGTGATTTTTTCGCGGATTTTTTCGTTTTTATTAAATTCGCCCGGGTATAATGAAGGATAATTTGAATACAGTAGGGACGAGGGCGAGGCGAAAGTTCTCGAATTTTATTGCACCATCAGGTCGAATTCCAACCGAAAGTTTCATCATTTAGCTAATTAATTATTAGAAAAGGTTAATGTATTTATTACATTAGATGCTTAATTAGTGGTTCTCATTTAACTTTGAATTCCTTTAAAATGTGACCATTCATTTACATTCACCCGGTATAAACGAGCTGTAATTAAAATAATGGATGCATGCAACTGAAAACTTAAAAATCTACGAAGTAACGTGGATTTTATTCGATTTATTAACAAAAGCTCGCACGTTTGATTAAAGGCTAGAAATAAGCCTCTCCGGTTTCTATTGAATCGAGGGAATCCATCAGTCGAAATGAAAGGCCACTGGTTTTATGGAGAGATTAGTGATTTCCAGACCATCTATCAGCGGATTCCTAGAGTTCCAATTAATTCCAGGCCCACCATATCGAATTAGTGCCTAAGCCTTCGAAGGGTATTTCCTCCTTGTGAAGTACGCGCGTCGTTATCGGCCAATTTGTATTGTATAACTAGGGAGATTTATGCTCGAGGAACTGTGACGCCAACTAAACATCGTTTTTTTATTTGCGTTTTCGATTTTTAGTCGCGTATCTGTTCGCAATTTCCGAAGTTGAGTTCGAAACGGTCGCAGTTATGGAAAAATCGCTGTAAAAAGTGAATGATTGAAGCGCCGAAGTTTCGAAAAGAATGCGCCGATATTGCAAAAGACGCGCGACAGAAGCGAGAAGAATATGAAAAATAGATATAAACTTCGATATTTTTTTGTCGGGCGTTTCGAGTAGATGGTGTTCGAAGAGTACGAGAAAGCGAAATAGCAAAAAGGGTTGGTAGGCTGGTAAGT